TCTCCTTAACTTTTTGCTTATTATATATTGCATATTTCTCATATCTACTTTTGTATCACTTTGCGTTAATTTATAACACTTCAAGGATTTCTGGGTCATGAGCTATATTTCAAATATAGCTACAATTGGATGGCCAGTTTTCTTCTGAAGAGAAAGTTATTGCATAATCTATTTCATATTACTACTGATAATGTTTTTATAGGTAGGTGTGTGGATCGATGCTGGTAGTCGATTCGAAAATGACAAGAATAACGGTGTTGCCCATTTCCTAGAACATATGGCTTTTAAGGTTATACTTTTCATAAAATGTATCTTTGAGCTTTTGGATTGTTTCAAACAGCAGCACAGTCGGGTCACTTTAGCGGGATTTCATATTCTGTGTTTTTTAAATAACACTTCGTTGAAGGGTACAATGAAACGTTCACAGTCAGCTTTGGAATTAGAGGTGGAAAATATGGGTGCACATTTGAATGCATATACTTCGAGAGAACAAACAGTGTATTATGCGAAATGTTTTTCACAGGATGTTGATCACGGTAGGTGCTCTCAGCATCAAATTTAGAAGTTCTCAGATATTTATGATAGCTCTTGGAAATGAGCCATAATCAAGATTTAGATATTTGGTTGGCGGAATCCATTGCTATTTTATAACAAGCAATATTGTTTGAGGTTGCAAACATTCTGCGGTATACATTCGATAACAATAAATTATCCCTACATTAAAATCAATGAATAAAGACTTTTACAGCTGTAGAAATTCTTGCCGACATATTACGTAATAGTCAGCTGAGAACTGGCGAAATCGAACGTGAACGTGGTGTAATATTGCGTGAAATGCAAGAGGTTGAACAAAATTTGCAAGAGGTTGTGTTCGATCACCTCCATGCTGGTGCTTTCAAGGGTACTCCACTTGCGAGAACAATACTTGGTCCGGTTGAAAATATCAAGTGAGACATTTCATTGTGTTAAGCTATTTTGAGTTAAAAAAGATTACATATCTAAAAATCCTCAAAGTTCCAATCACAAAATTGCTTCATTTTATTTGTTATAGTCGATGATCTTTCAGTTCAGTTCTTGAACTAGTATGTAACCATGGAAATTAAATGCATTATGTTATAATTTTCGGTCATTGCAACGTGAAGATTTGGTGAAGTACATAAATGAACACTACCGAGGACCTCATATGGTACTAGCAGCGGCAGGCGGTATTGATCACCAAAAATTGGTAGAGCTAGGCAAACAATACTTTGGCGATTTAGGTGGCGCTGATGAGAATTTCGTAGCTGAATCTGGAAAGTTTGTCGCAAGCTATGTGAGATATTTTGGTTTCCTTTCGCTGTAGTTATTTTTACTTCACAGAATTTATTGCACTTCAAATTTAATTCATACATTAATTTGCACTATAAATATCAATTTATACATTTATCATTAATCATTTGCTCTCAGTTAGTATTTTACAAATACTTCAGTCCAGACATTTCCATAGTGATGGGTAGGAACGAAGGAGTTAGTAGTGAAAAAAGGAGGTTTTGTAATTCCGGTCATTAAAAGTAATATTTATAAAAGGAAGCAAATTCTCGTTTTTCTTTTATTATACACAGTGTAGGTGTTATTGGCTTGTTCATATGTATAAAGATATGAACAATCATTTAATGCACCTTTAGATTTTTAAATAAGTGAATTTTACTTAGAAACAATTTTTTATTCATGTTTAGTTAGTTCAAATTACATACCAAAAACCAGCAATGAAATATATAAGATTTGAGTATCATTTTAGTAACAACTAGTTATGTACTATTCAATCAGATTTAGCACTTTAATAAAATTTTTATAGTGTTCGGAGTTTGTTCAAAGTCGAATAGTCGTTAATTTTGGCTAGCGCTAATGGAGTCTTTTGATTCATGTGTGTTTATGGCATAAACTTGCTATCTGATGGTGCAATTTTAGCAGGACATCCGGGATGAAAGGATGTCGATGGTATTTGGTGCATTAGCTGTTGAAGGAGCTTCGTGGACCCATCCTTATAATATTCCTCTGATGGTTGCGAATACGGTGAGCTACTAATCTTAAGGTATTAAATATAATGAAGCTCGTTTTCATGGAATTCTAAGCTGCTAGGTTTTCAAATTTGTATAGTTGTTAGTTTTTAGTTGATTGGACAATGGGATCGAACAAATGCAGTTGGAATCAATGCACCATCGCGTTTGGGTCAAAGTTTGGGTTTAAATGCTCGAGTTCAATCATTTCAAGCTTTTAATACGTGCTACAAAGATACCGGTCTAGTCGGTGTTTATTTCGTATGTGAACAAAGCGGAGCTCGTGCTGTTGTTGACAGTATCACGCAGCAATGGTACTGTCTTTTTTTTCCCAACGCTTTTCTTTATTTAAAAAAGTCAGAAATTGCAGTTACGATCAATTTTTTGAACTCTGTTGTTAAGCTTATCCCAAAGTTTGCGTGTTTTGCTTTTAGGATTGACTTATGTGATAATATAACTGAGGAAGAGGTGGAAAGAGGAAAACGATCATTACTGACAAATATGTCTCTTATGCTCGATGGATCCACACCAATTTGTGAGGATATTGGGAGGTATTCATTTTTTGCTTTGTTAAAAATCAGTATGCAATTGTAGAAATAAAACTGTAGATAAAGTAGAAAGTTATTGCTGCTTATCATTCAGTTTTTGCCAGCGAGAAAGTAACTCCTGGCCAAATGATGATTTTCCTTTGTTTAGAATTTTTCATATTTTTAATTCGTTCGATATATTGCTTTCCAGGATAGAACCTCATTATTTCATAAGAAGACTTATTTAGAATTTTTTAACTCACTTTTATTCGCGAAAATTCTCTTTTTTGCGAAAATTGGAACTACTTGGAAAAGATTGGACGAGAAACTTTCCATAGATCTTCCCGATATTCCGATATATCTTGTTGTACTTCCGATTTCTTTGCTTCCGAAGTTCACATAAGATTTTTTTAGATTTTTCTTCTCAGGTCAAATAGGGAAATAAATTACTTTCTGACGCTTGCTAACTTTGCGTAGATTAACATTTAAATTACATGTCTAGTAATAAATTTAGTAATAAAGTTAGTTTCTCGAATGTTTCTTAAAAGTATTTTCTTCTGACCAAAGATTTAAAGAAAGCTTTCAAATGTCCCACTTGCAAAATTCCGATGTGCATAAATGATTATGAAAGTACTTGTTTTTTCTTCCTTTGGTCTGATATAATTCCTCTTGAAATTTCTTATTCGACCGTCGATATGCGTCTACCAATAGAAAAATCGCTGCATTAAATGACGATAGAAACCTAGAATAAGAAAAGATATGTCGATTGGTATCCTTCCGGATTTGTGTGCAAGTTAAATTTGGTTTATGTTTGGTGAACAGAAACTCGTACTTCTTTTTTTAAGCAGTGAAAATGGTTGGTTTGAGAATAATAAAAAAACCAATTGCTAACAGATGTAGGTTTGTCCCATAATCGCAGGATGGAAAGTAATACCATAATCTATGGGTATAAGGCTCCAAATGGATAGGAGGCGTGGCTTTTAGTGCATTTCGAAATAAAGTCGATGCTTCCTACTTTTTTCAGATATATGTTGTGAAATTGTCTGATAAGCAGCACGAGCTTCATTCGTCATCTTTCCCTCTTCCTACCAATTTGTAAACTATCTTATATGGGTTATCTGCTAAATGGTCCCGTAACGGCAATATTGGTGGTGTTTGGCATTATATTTAACCTGTGTACAATGTACTTTTTAACAGTCCCACATAGGACTTTTGGTACCCATGCTGATAGCGGTATGAAACATGCGCGATCCAAAAAATGTTTTCATTTGGTAAAACGTTCTTCCAGTGTCTCACGACCTCTGATTAATACATACCTTATATGGCTGGCATTTTCCGACACGGCCTTGCTAATTAGTGCCGCGCTATTATACTGTATACCGGAATTTTTCATATCACTGGGTAATTATGCTCGGTTTTTTCCATCTTATTATTTGCTTAGTAATGCATCCCTAACAGCATCTGTTTGGCTCATGTGTGTGTTGATGTTCGAGCGGTATCGTGCATTTTGCAGACCATTAGATAGTCACGTGAAACCGCAAAGGATACATCGAACTCTTTCCTTAGTATCTCTGTTGGCATTAATCTTTTCACTTCCAAGATTTTTCGAATTGTCTGTTTATGAGCTGGACGGTGAATATCATGTGAATCAAACATTGCTTGTAGAAACACGTGCCTATATGGTTGGTTATCGAATAATTGGTGGGATGCTGTTCTATTCTTTATTTCCATACGTCATACTATTCATAATCTCGGCTCGTATATGCTTTGCTATACATGCCGCTAACAAGCAGCGGCAAAATTTTATTGCTACCCCTAATGTTACCCATTTCAGAAGCACTGACTGTGAACTAGTCCTCATTACTGTAGTGGCTAAATTCCTTATTTCACGACTAATGCCAACTGCTTTAGATTTGGCGGAACATATCATTAGTTCCTCGGAATTTCTAGCTTCCACCACTGCCACATTTTTTGTGGACATCAGTAATCTTATCGTTGTCATATCCAGTGCTACGAATTTTTTTATTTATTTCACTCTGTCACGAGCATTCCGACGTACTGTCTTTAACTCTCTTCCAAACCTCAATTTCCAACTTACTATCTTCCGAGGACAGAAACGTTATTTCACTGTACAGCGTCATGCGGTGGAAACAGTATGTATACCGCAACCAACGTTAAACGAAGTAAGCAAAAGTACTGTGTCTGTTGTAGATGGTCGTTTACTGTCTATCATCGAAGTACACATCTAATTCCAGGGTAATGTTTTAAACACAACTTTTCCTCAGAAGCAATAGTTGATGACTTAATGGAATAAGATTTAATTAAAAAAAGATAAGAGGGAAAGATCTTTATTTTTTAATCATTTCTTTTTTCTGCGAAAAAAATTATCACATGTACTTTATTCCTCAGCTTTTAGCCTGCATCTTCATTCATATGAATTCATGCATACTAATGAATTCATGTATTTTCCTACTCTCTCTTCCTCTTCCCAAGGGAAGGGAATTAGTTTTTTACAGCAGATTACGAAGTAACATAACTTCAAAATACATTAATAATGAAATCACATCTAATTAACAGACAGTCCTCACTCCTTCATTTTAATTGCCTGTCTTTTTTATCTTACATAATTTGATTGTGAACGCAAATTTTTTCCTTTTTTTGGAAACGAAAAATTTTTTTGGAGAAATGGATATTCATAGTTTTGAAAGTCTAGTTGTATGGGGATGCCGTTGTTTAGCAAGGCGGCAGTTGTTTGAGCGTGTCGAGCGATTTCACTTAATTGACTCGGTGTTAATTTTATTTTGTGCATCAGTTGTCAGAATGTTAAAAAATTCTCCTAATTTTTTTGTCAGATTGGTTAAAATCCTATCAAGTTGTCAAGTTTTTGTCAAGGTGAACAAAATTGTTTTCATCCGCTTTTTATTTGTTAGTGACACTCAAAGGATGTTTTTGACAATAGATTTCACTTTCAAGCTTTTAAAATTTTTTTCAAGTATTTGAGGTATTTCTTCAGTTTATCTTCAATTCTAATATTTTTTCAATTTATCTTCATCAGTTTGTTTTCCAAATATTAACAGTATTCTTAAGTAATTTGCCAAGAAATGAGTTAGCATTTTATCAATTAGGAAAAAAAGTTCGTTGTACAATTTATCTACAGTGTTGTTGCTATGATTTTGGTAATGATGACAATTATGATTAAGACGATGGTGATTATTTTCATGATCTTATGTTGCAAAATAAAATTATCATATATGTCTTGAAATTTTCCAATAAAAACAAAGAAATTGAATGGTGTGGATTCGGATCGAAAATTTTTATTTTATTAATAAGTGAAGAAGTACTGTTTACAGGCAGTTGTTGTGTTATGGAAGACGAATACCTATGCACGAATTGGAAGTACGAATCAATGTAAACAATTTTTCCACATTTTTATGGTTTTGTGAAGATATATCAGCAAATGAAAAAGTGTCAATTTAGTCCGTCCATGTTTACGAAGCGCTACTTTTTCACTAGTTTCAATTTTGCACAATTTCATTTCCTTAATGTTGCTTACGCGTTCTCTCAGAGGTCGACTAGCTTAATGGAGTAATTTTAAAAATTTTTAATTTATCTTGTTTGTATAGTTTAAGCTTTGATGGTTTTAATTTCTAGGCAGTCACAGCAAAAACAGTGAAGGAAGTGTCATTGCGCATTTTCCGGAATAAACCAATTGCTTTTACCGTCGTTGGTAAGTGCAGTGGATGTTTATTTCAATAAAATTGTTTTAAAATTGCATAAAAACTGCTAAAAATAGTAGAAAAAATAATTTTTCCATTAATTTTTTCTCAAATTTTCTTTCATTATTGTTTTATTGAGAAAACAGTTATGCAAATATCATTCTTTATGATATTTACAAAAATCAGTTTTTATTAAGGCCAGTTTTCCTGCAAATTGCTGCATAATGATGATAACTAAAAACATTTGTTCTAAATTGAGATGTTTTTTGGCAGCCAAGTACGCGGAGTATATTATTTTTTATTCATCATTTGTTAACCACCGTTTCCGGATTACTGAAAGGGAGAATATTTGCTATATAAAGTGTATAGGAAGTTAGATTTTATTTTATATACTCTTTCACTATAAATCAATGACAGATTGAGGTTGTCAGTTAATACTATTTATGAAGAAAAAATGGGGGAAGAACGAAAAGAAGAAAGAAGAATTAAACGTAGATTTTAGACATATTTTGGATTGTAGTTACTAGGAATTCTCGACTCTTTGTTTTCAAATTATTGCATTTATCGCCATTTCGAGATTCTGTTAAGCGATAGTTGAAAATTAAATTTCAGAATACTGAGAATTATTTGTGTAATGTAAATGATTAAGTGAAAGGAATTATGTGTGGAAATGTTTCGTTTCTTTTTGGTGCGAAGTTCATTTCAAGTTATGTTAATGCTGTGAAGGAATGAAAGAGTTGTGATGAGTCAGAGAGAACAGGATTGGAGTGGCATAATACTTAACCGGATGCTATTTAGTAATGCGATTAATATTACAGTGGAATACAATTGACGCTAGAATTTTGAAAGATTTTATTTCCGGTGTTTACTATAATTTAACACGTTAATGGAGCTTTCTGTAACAGGCAGGAAGTGAGCTGAATAGCAAGGAAAGATAAGAAAGGAAAATGGAGAAAGATAAAAGGACGTAAAGATTACTGTTATTAATAAGCGTTATTTCCTGAAATGATCATTAATAGGCGTTATTTCCTGAATAGTTTTTAGCAGTTGCTTTTCTATGTTCAGAATTAAACGTTTTAGAGAGAGAAAAAGAAGTTTTGGTTATGACATTTTTATTTATTTGTATGATCATTTGCTTAATGTTGACCGCTTGGAACTTTTTTACCTTAGTTTTTATTTTATGATTGATTAGCTTTCTATTACGTTCCTGTAATAAGAATTTTTAATCTTTAACCATGGCCTATTATGAAATCCTCATTCTCATGACGCGTGATAGCTGGAGTGTGGCTCTGTAATGTCAGTTCATTATGGGATTTATTTTCGACAATTTCAAATAATCTGTGAAGTTAGTTGATTATGCTTCAGATAGCTTGATTAGGGGGTTAAGGTCATCCTGCGCTTTTTCATAAACTGGATGACCTCAATGGTCTTGAGGTTGGAACATTATGTATTTCAGATACACTGTTTAGTTTTTGAGAATCATTTCATACCGTTTTACAGTAGTCGTGAATTCATCGTATTTATTATTTTGCATACTAATATAAGAAAGTTTTGGTTTTTTGATTAAATCATTATAACTGATATTCTGCTTGACTTTTTGTCGCTACAAATCTGGTCATTGGTTAAATTCCTGTGGTCAGTTGAACTGTTTTCTGTTATATCAACTTTACTGTTATTATTTGCGAAATTTTGGAAAAGACTTTAATATGGATATAGAAGTTTAATATATTAAACAGACAGTAAATTAAATACAATTGAATAATTGCAGTATGTTTCAGGGCGAACGCACGATTGGCCTTCATCGGATTACATCGAGAATCGATTGAAATGAGACGAAAAGTCAGTGATTTTATTTGTTACCGGTCATTGTTTTGACTTTTATGGAAAACTAATTTATATGATGACCTTACAATATCACTAACTCCTACTTGCAAGATTTTTAAAGAATAAAGGTGCAAACAAGCGCTGTCTCACAACACAGGCACAACAAGGATATACTTCTGAGTCTGATCCGGAGCTTTGGTAATATCAGCAGAGCTTTATGTGTTTTTATTGTTAGCTTACATCCATCATTTGCTCTCCAGTTTACGTTATTTTCCTGTTGATTTTTCTGTTCTTTCCTCCCAAACAGCACAATTGCCACCCATCCATCGTATTGTCTTATCCCGTATTATATTTAAACTTACCGGAATTACCTCATCCTTACACGAATTACAGCTCAATCCTCATTCTAATCCTACTTACATTTTCCAGCTTCTTTTATCTCGTAATAGCTGGATCTTCCTATAAAGTGTAAATATATCATGCACAGTACATCATGTCCATTCTACTAACAAGAAATTGTAAATTATCATCCTCGTCATTTGCATGTATTAGTCCTAATGTGGATTCTCATGCGACAATCACTTCGCCACACTCAGAAACACTTCTCAGATCATACTCTATTTCATCCCGTCGAAATTTGCGTGATGGTGGTGATGAGCAGTCATCGATGCTAGTCATTAAGGAAATGTCCGCTGCTCCTAATAATGAGGTAACAGAAAGTGCTAAAAAAGCAGTAATTCCTGAATCTGATACGTGGTTGAAACGGATCAAACGATCCTACAAATTTCTGCATCTCAATTATTTATTTTCATTGGCATTTATGATGATTTATATGTTCCTTGGTGCACTGTTATTCCTCTGGCTTGAAAGAGCTTCAGATCAGGCTCGAAAATTGCATGAATATAAATTTTATATTCATGAAAGAGAATTGTTTCTCGAACAGCTCGATAATATATATAATGTCAAAGTATCACAGCAAAGAAAAGTTTTGTTGAAGAAAGCTATTGACTATTTACATCGGCAAATTGGAGTTTCATTTAGTAATCGATCAGAATGGTCACTTACAACTGCTTTATACTATTCTGGCACAGTTCTCACGACAATCGGTTTGTCTTTCTTTTAGCACTGTTTTAATTAAGTGAAAATTCATTCAGATTTTTTAAGATCTATTAAATGATTCCATAAAATAGTAGAATCAATCAGCTAATTAATATTACAAAATTGCTACTTCCGAAGTTTGTACAAAATTGTTAATGAAATTAAGGCAATTAATAAGAGAAAGGTAGAGCTTTTGAAATGAAATGTCAAGATTTTTAAATTTGCTAATAAATTGGATTTCATAGTCGATTTTTAACTTTCACTCTTCAAAATTCAATCAAAGATTGAGGAGTAATCATCAAAGTTTCAATGAATATCATCCATCTTATTTGAAATTAGGTGTGGGAATGAGATGACAACAAATCAAAGAAATTTTGATAAAGCTTGCAAATTAGAACGATTGATAAGAGAGAAGTAGAGATTTTGCAGTGAAATATCAGAATGAAAAGATTAGGGATGCATAATTTTTTTAGTTTACTGAAATTCTGAGGAATAAAAGGAATTAATTGCATGAAGTTTGGAAATTTTACAAATTTTTAAAAATAATATTTTTCAATTTCCTCTATTTTATATTTATGACAAATTATTTCTTATAATGGTTTCATAAAACGGAAAAATGTATAGTTTGTGAACGAAAAGTTAGGAGAATTTTTGTTAACATTATAATAATTCTTAAAAAGTCGCAAATAATGTACTTCTTAAAAAATTAAGTTTTTTTTTTTTGCTTGATGAGACAAAAGAAAAGAATGCGTGTTTTATGATTCGATCCATGATGATTTATCTTTTTGACAATTATTTTATTGAGATTCTTTTGATCTACGGTTCATAAAAAAATGGATATAAGATTGAATAAGCTTTTTTCTTAATTCCTTTTCTTTCTCCTTTTTTTTAATTTCAATTTAAGTTCCTCAGTTATTATTATATATATCAATGATTCTTTTAGTTAGCTGTTGCGAGAAATTTTTTATTTATTTGCTTATAATTTCTTTGGAAAATGATTTATGGTACAGTACATTTTGTAAACTTCACCAATGCAGCTAACGCTCATTGTTGTTGAAATCATTGTGGAGAAAAAGAAAAATTTTGATTTGATCAATCCAATTTCATTATTGCTATCTGATACAAATTTGAAACAATTATTGCTTAGATGTTCAAGCTTAGAATTTGGAATTTTAAACAATTAACTCTTTTTTTCTCAAAAAAAGATATATATATATTTTTTTAATTTCTTACAACTAAGTTTATTTTACATGTGATGAAGTGGAGAAGAAAAAGGTATCTAACAAAGAGAATTAGCAAAAGAAAAAAGCAGAAACAACCCCATTCATTAATCATTATTGATGGTTATATGTTTGTAAATTGAAGACAATATTTTTTGATAAACTGTAATTCTTTAAAAATTAAAGAAAAATTTCCTTCTAAGTTAATTTGATCACATTTAGAAAGTATAATAATAAACTGAAAATATTTATGCTTGATTTATTCATCTTTATTCATTTCCTTTTTTTTTTCTATTTTAGCATTATCACTAAATATTCTAACAGTTTGAAAACAAACAAAAAAAAAAATTCATTTTATTGCAGTAAATATAAAAACACACACACGCATAAAAAGAATTGTTTTATTTATTTTTCACAAAAGCGACATTTAATAAATCTTCTTAAGATATATTTACATATATATAATCTTTATTTTAAATTATCAATATTGTTCAGTTAAAATAATCCATGAATTTTACACTTTACTGATCGAATACTAATAAAAAGTTTTGTTAGTATGAAGTGACAAGATAAGATTGAAGTGTGTTGAAATAGTATGAATGATTGCAAATTTGCTTCAAATATTGCTAAATGAGTATTCGTAAATATCAACACATTATATTATATAAATTCTCTCTTCTCTTTCTCCCAATTATTTATAACCACTATTTCTCTCTCTTAAAAAAAAGAAAAAAAAATACATATTCATAAACTTTTGAAAATTTAGTGCATTTCCTCGATATTTACGAAAATTAATTGAAATAAGAATGGTTGAATTAAATATTTAACAGGATATTTTCACTTTTTAAACCAGACAAAATATTATGTAATTTTTCTTTTAATTTTGCCAATATTATCATTAGTTTGAAATTATCTGTTGAGAATTAGCAAAAATTAAGTTTCAATGTTTTTTATAGTAGAAAATTACATGGGTGTAATTACCTCAATTAAGACAAATCAATTAATGATCATTTTTTACCTATACAATTCAGCACAAAATAAATATAAGTTATATTAGAATGCTATGAAGTAAAAATATTGAAAAAAAAAGTTTTTTTTTTGGTATATATAATCGTCTAAATGTCTGTTCTTATTTCGTCGCTGAAAATATGAGCCAAGCGTTGATTCTAAATGATTTTTTTTTTTGAAATAAATATACAAACTTCTTTGTTCAGTTAGTTTAATTTAATTAGTATGGAGTAATATAGCATTATTTAATTGGCCCCTTAACATGTTTGATTACAAAGGTAATAGTTGGAAAAAGGGATCGAAGAATATTTCATACAAATATTGCAATGCAACAATTTGCTATATTTTATTGAATATTTTTAGTGATATTCAATAATCAAGAAAGAGCTGCAAAAAAAGAAAGCTTAAGCAATAGATATTATTTGTTAACATTAGTATTTATAAATATGCTAATAGTAAAATTTCTCATAAACGTTTCATAGAATCAAATCATATATCAGAATTCATATATGTTTTATGAATAAAAGGTACAGAATTTTTAATCATATGAAATTTTTCAATCCTCTATCTTTATTATTCCTAACAAAATTCTGAAATTTAAATATAATTTTTCCTCTCCCCTCTTTTTTTTGCATAGATTTTGAAATTTCAAGTGAAAGTGTTCATTTTTCTTTTATAATCACTCATTTCTGCACATATCATTTTTTTTTCCATTTGTGATGTGAAAAAAATCTGCAAAGTATGTGTGCGTATGTGTGTATGTGTGTGTGTGTGTGTGTGTGTGTG